AATATAATGTTAAAAAAAAAATTTAAAAAAAATTTCGTTTTTTTAAATATTATTATTTTATTTTTATTTTTATTTTTATTTTACAAACATATATAATATAACTTAACAAGATTTTATTTTCTTTTTTAAAAGATATCAAATATGAAATAACATCATCCTATTGGTTGGTGAACTTCTAGGTTCACCCTAGGGTGAACCCAAGAATAAGTCTTTCAAATATCAATCAAACCATCGGATGAATACTTTTTCCTTTCTTTAAAACACTGGATGAACATTTGGTAGACATAGATCTATATATCTATTACAAAATAAGAGCTCGATCAAGTATATATAGTACTGTAGTTGTTTCATTTAATCCTATCTCATACCGGAACTCAAACTAATACCTTGATTTATAGAAAGCCAGGTGTTATTTCAACTTCAAACGTATAAGAAAGATACCTCAAGCTTGTAATTTTGTATTCCAATAACCGAACACCATTAAATTGCATGTACACAAGTACACTTATGAGGGTATACATAGTCATTAAATGTGATCCATTTTGCAGAATTGTGTCTACGTTCTTCAGACAATATGCTTCTTGTTCGGAACAGTTTTTTCGCTGTTATAGTCAACGTGTACTATTATGAAGTATTGTCGTAAATACTTGAGGCCGTTGTGTTGTCGTGTGTAAGTATTGGATCATAAGCGATAGAAAACGATATCATAACTTCAGCATATTAAGTTTATCAAAAAAAAAAAAAAAAAAAACTTCATCATATTAAGACTCTGAAACTGTGCATGATCAGTTGCAGATCCATGGATAGTTTATATATATACCAGGACAAAAACATAAAATGGGTGTCAAAAATAAAAATGAAGGGGTTCAAAGTTAATAAATCCAAAAGCAATAAAGAAAAATAAATTATGGGATGTCACTTGAACATGCTTGGTTCCATGTAAGTTCTCTGTACGTGATCATCTCAAATATCTCTAAAAGTAATTACGTTATTTTATCTAGAAACTTATGTTACAAGATAATCTTTGTATTAACACTCAAACGAGGAGTGAGAAAAAGAGAGAAATAGATCCGAGACAAGAAGATTCGCTCGTGCCTCGTGGGCGAGCAAAAGATGATAAAAGAAATGTAATAAAAAGTGAGGAAAAAAGAGACAAAGCAATTAAATATCCCAACTAAGATTGGCCTCCCTGTTCTTCTTCGTTTGCTCGTCATAGTTACTGTCTTGCTGGGTCCTTAACTGACCCGTTACTCTCTTGCTGAGTCCTTACCCGACCCGTTACTATCTTTCTGGGTCCTTACCGACCCGTTTTTGTACCCTTTACCTGTTGAGGGAATGAGACTTGGATAAAAGTAAAAACTTAATATAAAATGGGTTATTGTCTTCTTTTTCAACATATAAGGGGATTTGTTTTCAAATAAAAAATGTTTTCTTCTTTTAAAACAAACTAAAAAGCAGTGTTTATCTTTCTACCAAAAAGACGAAAAGTGTAATTAATTCCATTAATTATATTTTTAAGTATATACTTTGTAAGCACTAGTTCCGGAAATTTGGGCGAATTAATAGTGAATCTTTAGTCTTTAGTCTTTACCATCACTAATACACCCTTCTTTCTAAACTAAAATCGTGTTTAATAGGGGATCTTTCTTAACAAATTATTATTTTCTCGAGTGAACTTTCGAACAGATTACTAAAAAGAATACCGCCATATACTTTTTTCCTTTAAACGTTTTATATACTTGTAGCAAACTTTCATACATAACCATACTATTATTAATGCTTTTAAATTATCATTATTAATTAATTATTTGACATGTATAATACTAACTATTAACGCAGTACATCAGTTACATATATATTTTTTCAGTTACATATATTTATAATATATACAGATAAGTGAAATCATATTCCATCCGTCTTTAAATGTTTTTACTTTTTAGCATCTAAATAAAATCATAATTTTCGATTTGGTATCAAAATAAAGTCTAATAAGTATAATGGAGAGGACTTTTGTTTTTGAAACACAGATACTGTACTTCTTTCTACTTCAAGAAAGGAGTATTTTGTGATGAAAGTTGTCGTACAAGTGGCACACGTATGCTCAACCGTATTCATAATGCCATTTGTCGAGAAGATCCGTCCATTAACTACAGTAGTAACACTACAACCTCCAAACCGAAACACAAATTCATGTTATGCATATACTGATATATACATATTAAATCATTTCAAAAAAAATACATACGTTCGAATGATTAAAAGAGGAAACTATTATTTCCTCTCTAAAGCCTTACCAACTGGAGCAAACATTCGTCGTGTTACTAAATTGTGAATTTGAGAGTTATTCTTTCCATACATATTGGTATTTATCAATCACAAAAGCCAAACTAGCATTTAACTTAGCCTAAATTTTTCTCTAAACACCTGTTTTACAAAGAAAATTCTCCTAAAAGCATGGGTTGACTTGATGAATGATAGGTAAATACTAGATTTGTAGTAAGAGTATCTCTAACTTTATTCTATATTTTACTGTAAAATAGAATATAAACAAATAAAAAGTGATTATTCTATAAATTGATATAGAGAATTTTTTTTTTAAAAATAAAGGAGAGCTGGGGTGATAAAGTTAGTTGGTGTAATATATATATTCTTTTAGTTAAAGGATTAAATTTTCTTAAAATATTTCCAGTAGTTTACTTTACCTTTTTCTTCAAAACAGAGTAATTCTATATTAAAATTGAGTTCATTTCAGTGGTGTTACAGAGCAAGAAATGGAACATTGAACAAAAATAAACGATATACTCTATTTATTGAATAAACTAATTTTTAATCTATTATACAGTGAAAAATATAATAAAATTAGAATATTTTTACTCTAAACTATATTTTATAGTGAAAAATAGAAGATTTGGAAATGTTCTAAACTGCAAACCATTCAAAATCATAATTATTATGGAGTATTTTACTTTTTTAATTAGTATAATAAGTTTATAAGACACAAACACAATTTCAATACACCCGTTAATCTAAATATATAAAACTGAAATAACTTTGATGAAAAAGTGGAAAGTAACCGAATTTTCCAAACAAAAGTCTTAGACTCCTTTCATCACTATAACTTTTTCATTGTGCTTAACTTTTTTTTTTGGAAACACTTTCATTGTGCTTAACTGAAAAAGATATTTACGCCAAAAAGACATTTACGATAAAACGGAAAATATAATAGAAATTACATTTGGTTTATGAAGAAAGAATATTACATATAATTTAGTTAATTATCCTAAAACAGTTTTGTGGCAAGACATGCATTTCTTTGTGGCGTGATTATGTTTGTACATACGTGGAAGGAAACAAAATACATATCTGGTTTGATTCACGTGAATATCCACATGTTTCGACCATATTTTACCAAATTAGTCACTCACGCGTACATACTGTCGATCTTTCCAAAGAAACAAAACAAAAGGGAAAGAAAAAATGAAAGTATACAAGCAACCATTGTAGGAAATTGCAACTAAAATAATTAGGTTAAGAAAAATATAATCTAAAATAATTGAGAACAAATACAGATAATAACTTGAAAGCCTTTTAAAATAAAAATACAGATAATATTCTTAAAATAACAATACAGATAATATATATTGCTGTAAGCGTGTACATAAATATTGAGCGTGTGAGTGTGCCTACGAAATAGGAGGTACTGCGGGACTCACGGTTTACGAGTGCGCGTGGCAATCGTCCCTACAAAATTTATTTATACGCATAAATAATTAAAATATTTATAAAAAGAAATGGAAATGGAAACTTAAAACGAAGTTAGAAAAAAGAGATGTTAAATTGAAATTTAATCACACTGCTATTCTCCTGGATATTACTGTACACTGCGAGTAATAATTAGTGGAACGCCATGCTGCCAAATAAATATGAAAGGAAAGGACAAACTAAACCCATTAAAATGTCTACACTGTAATAAACAATTGTGCTTTTCCTATCTATTTTTTACTTTTTGATTTTTAGATAAAAGTGATTTTAGATTCAATAAAATAAAAATGAATAATGATGGCTGTGTTAATGAGTAGTGGCGTGAGGGTTGTCATGTCAGCTAGAACAGGCAGAAAAATAAAAGAATGTGGGAGACAAGCCTTTGCCCCTTTAAGAGTTCTTTATTTTCCAAAAAGAAACACACAATAGTACACGGTTAAAATTGCGGGCTCCTGTGTTTGATCAATTTGGTTTAGCTTCTTTCATACAGGTCTGGCTCAAAAAACAGATAGACTATTTTCCATATTGATTTTTCCCCTAAATTTATGAATGAATTTCAAAATTAGACTCTTAATATGTAAAAACTAAAAAGTTAGGATTTTAAAACAGTGAAAAATTGATTAAAAATGTGGGACCATGAGTATTTGATCTCTGTGCACACTTCTAGAACCGATATTGCACTCCTATAGTTAAAATCTATCATAATGTTTTGTTTATTTGTTATAACATTATGAGCTCTTTTTATCTCAATTTGCCATAACCTCTAACTAGGAATGTCAATGGCCAAAGGTAATTCAGTTTGATGTTAACGAAAATCTGGATGTTTAGACATTTTGACTTATATATAATGACCAAAAAAAAGAGAAAGACCATATAAGGTGATGAAAAGGCAACTAGTCAAAATAACAACATAAATTGAGTTTTTAAGCACTGGTGAAACTATAAAAAAAAAAGAATCTTAGCTTTTGATTTTAGAAACCATGTCCGTCACCATTAGGTATACCAATATTCATGAAACCTTTGTAATATTGTAGCTTACAAAATGAGTACCACTCTATCGTCGGGAAAGCTCACCATATAAAATACCATATTAATATTTCTCAAGTGGTGGTTCCCACAGCCAAAGGGGAATGAGATAGCTATCTACCAATATTTATACCTCCACAACTTCACTCTTTTTCCTCAATCAAATACACTCATTCCATCTCCATTGTCGTCCGATTCAAAGCTCAGTTCCAATGGCGGACAACACCGATAACCGGAGAGCGATATGGGGAGTTCCGGAGAAGCTTCAGCTTCACATAGCGATGCTCACGTTGCAATTTGGTTACGCAGGATTCCACGTGGTCTCGAGAGCTGCTCTTAACATGGGAATCAGCAAACTTGTCTTCCCTGTTTATCGTAACATCATCGCCTTGCTTCTTCTCCTTCCCTTTGCTTACTTCCTCGAAAAGTAACCTATTTATAAAACCTTCCATATATTTGCTTTGATTAACTAATAGTTTAGTAATTTAATTACCGAATTTGTGTTATTTAGGAAGGAGAGACCAGCAATTACTCTAAACTTTCTCATTCAGTTCTTCTTTTTAGCACTCATCGGGTATACATATTTATTTATATATCTCACTTAATTTGAACTTGTCAATAACAAAATTAAGTTATTAATGAACATGTTCTTGAATTATTACACGACACAGAATAACAGCGAACCAAGGGTTTTACTTGTTGGGTCTGGACAACACTTCACCAACATTTGCTTCTTCCATGCAAAACTCTGTTCCCGCCATTACCTTTCTCATGGCTGCTCTTCTCAGGCATTGACCCATCACTCTTTTATATAATTTTCTCAACTAAGAAGAAACCAAATATATAATTTAAAACTCCTGGACAGCTATGATACATAACGAACTACTTTAATAATTATGTTTTGACGTTTCAACGTTGAAGAAACCTACCATATGTACATAGACAACATTAAATGCTATTTCGGATAAAATTACAAAATAATGATAGTTTACTACGTGACCATAATAGTAACATGTTATATGTGTCAAAAACAAACACAGGATTGAGAAAGTAAGACTAGACAGAAGAGACGGTATCTCAAAAGTCTTAGGAACAGCACTTTGCGTCGCCGGAGCTTCTGTCATCACTCTCTACAAGGGTCCCACCATCTACACACCGACTAGCAACCTCCACACTCACCTCCTCACAACCAACTCCGCCGCCTCCGCCGTATTAGCGCCACTTGGAGACGGAGCACCTAAAAACTGGACTCTTGGTTGCATCTACCTGATTGGTCACTGTCTCTCCTGGTCCGGTTGGCTCGTGTTTCAAGCTCCGGTTCTTAAATCTTATCCGGCGAGGCTCTCGGTTACGTCTTACACCCTTTTGTTCGGAATCATTCAGTTTGTGATCATCGCTGCTTTCTTTGAAAGAGATTCTCAGGCTTGGGTTTTTCACTCCGGTTGGGAGCTTTTCAGTTTTCACCATCCTCTACGCAGTTAGTATTTTTTTACAGCTGTACTTATTAACTATTTCGAATTTAACCATGTAATTTAAAAATTTATCAGTTTAGTCCTAAGGTTTTTGGTATTTTCAGGGAATAGTGGCGTCTGGAATCGCGTTTGCGGTTCAGATTTGGTGTATCGACAGAGGGGGTCCAGTGTTCGTTGCTGTTTACCAGCCTGTTCAGACTTTGGTCGTTGCCATTATGGCTTCGATTGCTTTAGGCGAAGAGTTTTACTTGGGCGGGTACGAAAAATTAATAAACAATATAAACGGGTGCTTTACAATAACTAATTAATTTATAAGGAGCAAAACGAGAAGTTAAACTATGTTGTGACACTTGGTTGTTTCTTATTGGCAGTATTATTGGAGCTGTGCTGATTATAGCGGGACTTTACTTTGTGTTGTACGGTAAGAGTGAAGAGAGGAAGTTTGCAGCTCTTGAGAAGGCGTCCGCGGAGCATGTTATCGAGCGTGCACACGTTTCTCGCGGCTCCATCACAGCTCCACTGCTCCATCAGTCAACGAATAACGTTTGACTAATTGAGTCTTCCTCAATAATTACAAATGCCATTACCCAATTTAAAAAGAACAATGGTGTGCCGTTTTGTTTTATGACTTTTGTGTCTGCTTCTTTTTCCTTATTTTAGTTGTTTTTTTTTTTAATATTTGAGTACGTACAAGAGGGTTTTGAGAGTGAAAATGGTGGATGAGACATCATTGTTCATGAGGATGGTGGTGATGATGATGTTGATGAGACTATGTGGGAGCTTTAAATTGGGACTTTTCAATATATTAAATTCGGATGATATATTAGTGCCTTTTATTACATTTCTTGTGGTTTTTCTTAGCTTTTCTATCATCATCAGTAGAATGTCATAATTTGCATTTATGGTTTCTACTATTAATCACTGTCAGGATATTTAATTTGGATAAGTTCATCTGAATTCAAGTAGAGAAAGGGATCGATTTGTTAAAAAACAGTTTAATATTCAAGAATCCAAAATCTTGGTGTTGAATTTTACCAAGCTGTCAAAACGGAATTCAACTATTTAAAGAAAATATCATATGCCACCATGCCTCTTTGAGCAGAGAGTGCATTACCAAAAGTTATACTATGCGGGCCAAGAAGTCACACGTGAAGTTATTAACGGAGAGGCCAAGGTCTCAGACGAGCTCGGACACAAGTTGAGGCTAGAAATTATTATATGTATCAATTGATTGAACAATTAGATTATTGGAGTTTTCGTATTATTAGACTCTTACACACAAGGCTACCCTTCTCCAAAAGCTAAGATGGAAAGAGATACCAACAATAAGCAAAAAAAAAAAAAAAGAGATACAACACAACAAACAAGAGAATAGACAAGCCCACAAGAAATAGAGACATGTGCAGTCTTGACACCGACCGTTACACACAAAGTAATTTCACGTTTTCATTGAACAGACACATTGCACTTCTAGAATTCCCCATAGGCCATGGAACATTTTTGGTATGCGAGACAAAAAGAAATCTGTCGTTTTTATGTACATATATAACACGGAGCTGATGTATATTTTACATATGATGTATACTTGAAGACATATTCCTAGAGCACAGTGACTATTTTTGCGTATATGATAAGGTCTTAGTAATTAAGAGAGTGTAGTAAATCCTCAAACTGGGGAGGTAAAGGAATCCCAATTAGAATAGCCACCGGAAATAGTATACAAGTATTAAACGGAGAAATATCGTCTGATGAGTGATGAACCCACGGAAACTCTCTAACGACACAAGAGCTTCTTCCCATATAGAAGGATCAGCCGTTACGGGCAAATCAACGTTCATATGTTCCCATGCAATCACCTCAGTTGTTCCCCACGATGACAGCTCGTTGGATGAACAAGGCGACTCCACTTTTTCCACTTAAGTTGCTGCTTGACGTTTCTGTCCCGCAACGCTGTTTCAAGGTAACTTCTTAAGGACTCAGGGAGGTTGAGGTGAGCCTCAGCCCCATAGACCCATATGGAACGTCCGGTGTAGAAGGGTTTCGTGGCAAACATGGAAAACGCCCACGTCGTTTTCCTAGGATTTTTTTTAACGATGAAATGGACCAACAAAATTGGTATATATCATTTCAGTGTCCATGTGAAAGCGGAATTCAACTATTTAAAGTATTTAAAGAAAATATTATCATATTTACAAGGTTTAATTGTATATCAATAATTTCAAGTATACTAGTTTAAACACAATTGAGTCACTGAATTAAAAAAAAAGTCATCTATTTAAAAAGCAAAACGCATTTTAGTTATTATATTTTCCTCCAAACAAGACCAATCACAAACAAATGTATTTAGTTTTAATTAGGTTAAATAAAAGTAACTGTTGGATGCATGGACTATATTTACGTATTTGATTGCGTTAAATTGAATGGTTATGTTAATTAAGGTAGTTGTGTATAAATACTTGAAGGGTATTACTACATGATAACAATTATCTTTGCACAATAAAAACAATTATGAAATAAACTATCATATTTAGTTTGGATAGTGCCACAGACTGCAAGTAGAAGGCGGTTGGCCAATCAAGGAATACTTCTTGCTCAATGATGATTATGAATCATCCCATTGTAAAGTACTCGATCTGTGGTTGATTGCAGAATAAATATCATAGACTACGCTTCGCATAAACACTTGGGTACACCATTCTCCTAGAATCAATGAACTGAGAATAAAAGTCAATGGGAGTTTCAAAGTCTTGCTCCGGAAGGCTTGATCACCATGTGTTTTCGAACCTCTTGAATATCTTTTACCTCTTCCATCCATTCTTCGAAAGAGTCTGTGCTTTTGTTTTTCCTTCTATAGAGATTGATTTACATTTTCATTCTTTAAGCTAACTAAAAATGTGACTGATCACCATGAATATATTTTACCTCTTCTATCCATTCTTTGAAAGAAAGAGTCTATGCTTTTGTTTTTTTTCTTCTATACAGGTTCATTTAGTTTGCTTTTGACAATTCAACCGATGCTAACTAAAAATGTCATTTGTTGTGATAAATATTTAAATGTATTTGTTTTATTTTGCTTTATTTTGTTTCAAATATGCTCTTTTGTATTTAAAAATACTTTTAACATATACTAGAAACAAGAAAAAATTTAAATGTATTTGTTATATTTTGCTTTATTTTTGCTTAAAAATAAATATTCAACCATTTATATACTTAAATTTATATTTTAATTTGAAAAGAAACTGTTTAATAATAAAATTTAGTAAACAAAGTGTAAAACAACAATAGAGAATGAAGGTATCAGAATTGTTTTAGAGAATGATATTGATTTGTATATTTTAGTGGATTTGGAAACTCAAGTCAAATATAGTGTTATTGTAACTATCGTTTTAAAATCCAGTTTCAAATATATTATTGTTGGTTCTATGATTTTAAAATAGATTTTCGAATAGGTGTTATTCAATAGTATGAATTTGTTTATAGATTTGATCCGGCTTAGGATTTGAGTATATATAAGTATTTCTAAGAGTAAAATACAAAAGAGAAAACATGCTTTTGTTAATTAATGTATGTTTGGAATTGAGGAGATAGGCTATGGCCTTTAAGTTATACAATCTTGTATCACCAAGTAGCATAACAACGCACACATCGATTAAACAAAAGTTGCTTACAGATATAATGAAATCTCTATAATATAATTTGAGAAGTCAGTTTCCTATGTGTCGCGCTCACGTTAACTTTCACAATGGTTGATTACATAGATACCCTTAATGAACTAAAATATTATATATATAATTTCCATTATTATTAAAAATTTATTTATTTTAATTTATCTTATCTTTTCTTTATTTTATTTCCAAATAACATATATAATAAAAGTAAACATTAATTATTGAACTATAAATTTTAAAAAACGAAATATGTATAATAAATAAGTTGATTTCATAAAAAAAAGGAAACTTAACAATAAAAGTTTTATTAAAGGAAAAAAGTAAATTTTAAAAACGAAAATATATCACATATATAATTTGATTTCATAAAAAAAGGAAAGTTCACAACAGACATCTTAATATTAGAAATATATTCCTTTTAATACATAATCTTAAATAACATAATATATATTTTTAAAATAATAATAATATTTTTTTACATCAAGCTATATTTTCAGATGATCAAAACTAACTTAGATAACATAACATAAATTGAAGTTTCTTTATGAACTAAAAGTATTTTAAAACTAATATTACTAAGTGTTTTACATAAGTTTTGCATAATATTTTTTAAACAAAAATTTGATTGAAAATTTCTTTGTATTTTTTATTAGACTACATAAATTAAAAATATCTCAACTTATCTAAAGTATACTTATATATTATTATATAAAGTAAACATTAATTAATGAACTATAAATTTTAAAAACGAAATATGTATAATAAATAAGTTAGTTTCATAAAAAAAAGGAAACTTAACAATAAAATTTTTATTAAAGGAAAAAAGTAAATTTTTAAAACGAAAATATATCACATATATAATTTGATTTCATAAAAAAAGGAAAGTTCACAATAAACATCTTAATATTAGAAATATATTCCTTTTAATACATAATCTTAAATAACATAATATATATTTTTAAAGTAATAATAATACTTTTTTTTACATCAAGCTTTATTTTCAGATGATCAAAACTAACTTAGATAACGTAGCATAAATTGAAGTTTCTTTATGAACTAAAATTATTTTAAAACTAATATTACTAAGTATTTTACATATGTTTTGCATAATAATTTGTTAACATAAATTTGATTGAAAATTTCTTTGTATATTTTATTAGATTACATAAATTAAAAATATCTCAACTTATCTAAAGTATACTTATATATTATTAAATAAATGATTTCAAAAAATTAAATATAAAAAATGTTTGATTATTTATTTTTAAAAAGTAAAAGTAAATTAATATTTTTCTTATATAAATAATATCTACAAAAATTTGGTATTTATTTAAAATGCTAAACAACATACTTTAAAAATAATCTTAAGCAAGATAACATTATTAGAAAATGTAAATACTTTTTTTATAATTTTATCTTAATAAAATAATATAATAAAATAATTACAGAAATATTTTAAATATTATAAGACAATATATTTTTAGCGAACTATATATATTTACTTTACTTCTTTTTTCTTAATCTTTAGATGATTTTAAGTTTTAAATTATATTTTTAACAACCAGTGTCTCTTTCATAATCTGAATTCCCAAACTAATCTGAAATCTTATGTTTAAAATTATTAATATAGTTTTTAATTTATCATTTATAAATTAAAATATAAATAATTTTTAAAAATATATCGATCATGTTCTTTTATGTTGTCATATACAAAAAATGAAAATATATTTACACATCCTAGATAAAGAACGAAACTTCCACATTAAATAAAACTGATCTTATTTGGTTTAGTTGGAATAAAAATAGATGTATTTATAATTATATTTTTTATATATAAGAATAATTATAGTAATATCAACCAAAAACAAATGCAATATAATATATCCAAATAATAATTAAATCGCTTAGATACTGTATATCTTAAATCACATGTCAGATTAAAACAACATGATATTATTTATACAAGATCTACATATAAATTATAAAACAAATTTGTAATCAATTAGTATGATTTATTTATGTTGTTGATTTTATATTTGTGCATGAACACGGGAAAATCACCTAATTCAACTTATATCTAAAATCATAAATTTAACTACAATAAGAATATATAGTTTTATAATAATAATAATAATTTATTTTATAGATAATAAATTATAGGATGACTCAAAACATATTAACAAATGAAAATAAAATATTAACCAACTGTTGCAATCAGTTTTTTTGTAAAATTTATATACATGCATGAGACTTCAGAATAATTTATGCAATTTAGAATGAGTCACTTTAGTTTATATTTACGTATCTAACACCAACAACTAACCTAAAATATATTTATGTATCTAACACAACAACTAACCTAAATACAAATAAGAAAATTAATCAAAATTTAATATATTTAGAATAAAAAAAATTGTAGTTGAATTTAGAAAAATAGATACAATCCAATAAATTCATATGATAACTAAATCGACTGTAAAAATAAGAAAACCAATTAGATATAACATATCTAAAATCATCTACTAAAGTACTATAATATTACTAATATAAATTATGCATATAAATAATAAATTAAGTTACAATTAAAGTAAATAGCAATCAATTTTTATAGTATATTTATTTTATAAATATTTATACCCGTGCATGAGCACGGGAAAATCACCTAGTCATTAGTAAATTACACATAAATTAAAGTACCAACCAACATTTGTATAGCAACGTTTGTATACACATTAATAATCACACACAAATCGTGGAAATAGCAACGTTTGTAAAGACTAGTCTACTCTTCCATTGTGAAGCACGACACTTTTGTGATCAGTTAATCTATGTTGAGCGCATGATGTCTTGTGTGGTTATTAGAGCACCCCCATCAAAGGATGATGGGGAAGGTTCACACACAAACCAAGAAAAAAAAACAATAAAATAATGTAAAAGTTGTGAACCTGGGCCGTAGAGGTTCACTCCCATGAACCTGGTTCACTACTGTTTCGAGGTCCCCACGCCATGTGGCGGCCCACGATTGGTCAGTTTTAATTTTTTTTTTTTTTTTTTTAAAAGATCAAACGAAAAAAAAAATAATAATAAAAAAATCAATTGGTGAATCCCAAGTGGGGGTTCACTGATGCTGATGCCCTTACACTCAGTCGTTAGTCACGAACAACATTTAGTTAATTCGTGGCCTCGTCGCTTTCACTCTTGTCTTTATGAATCATATAGAAATAAGATGCGACGCTAAGAGCGGCCGTGGCTAAAGCTGTTCCACTCAAGGCATTGTACTGCTCGTGAGTGCTATAAAAAACAGCCACCAGAAGCGACACGATGGGCCACGTACAGACGCTGATAACATTCGAGAACACGGCCGAGACAGCGAACATCAGCCCCACGATCCCTACCCAGTACACCTGCCACGCGACAGCTTGACCGACTAACGTCCACACGTAGGCAGCCTCTCCTTTCGAGAATCCATCCATCCGTCTCTTAAAACCGTGGTGCTCACCGCTGATGAAAACGGCTGCGAGGGAGATGAGCGTTGCTACGAGAGACGAGACGATGAGCAGCTCAAGAACCACGGCGAAGCTGGGCTGTTTCTTGTTGGTGGGGACGGTGCAAATGGAGTCGAATACGCTCCTCATCAGGCAGAGGGTCAGAGAGAATACAAAGGCGGCGATTAGTGCCGCATAGATAGCTCTGAACTTCTGTTTCTTCATGGTGTAGACACCCGGCGATCCGGCGAAGAAAGTGTTGAGGGTGAAAGAGCCGGTGATGATGGCAAAAGAGAGGGAGATGATCATCCATCGGTTGAATTTTGTTTTGTTGATGTAGGAGGATATGTACGGAGTGAATAAGAGTTGTGTTGTGTAGGTGAGAGTGAAATCTCTAAAGGGCATAGCGTTTTTAAGGTTGGATAACATTGCTTGGAAGAACATGAAGAAGGCGAGAACAGGATAAAATATCGCTAGTTGAAAGGGGGAGATTCCTTCCGAGGTCATGATAAGTTGTTTCTTTTTATTACAAGGAAGATGGAGGAGGACAAAAGGGATGAGGAGGATGGGGAATCCGACAAACTGGAGGAGGGATAGAGTCCATGGACCGTAACGGTACTTCCGGGTTCTGTGGAGGAAGTAGTAGTTCTCAAGGAGTCTGACAACGGATTGACCTGTTACGGCCAAGATGATGCAGATGATGATGGTAAGCCACTTGTTGCGTCTTTGGTTAGAGTCACTATTTTGTTGAGGTTCGGTTTCGACAGGTATTCGCACAAATTGTTCTGAGAAGGAGAAACAATATTTTATGATTTAGAAAAAACATATATTATATATATGATCAGGAAAGATACAGAAGAATATTTACCATTTGAACTGGACTGCATTGGTTGATTATGTCCCATTATCTCTGACTTCTGAGAATGTAAGATATGTTCTCTGATTATGTTTTTGGGAAATCTAGGAAATTGGTGTTAGAATTTATAACCAAGGTATATATGGGGTTTGGAAGTGGACTTTGACGTAGTATGGGTTTTGCCTACTTGATCAAATGGGTTTTAGTTACTATTTACAGACAATTGGGGATTTCAAGTTTCTCATCAATTTGTATATTTGATCATATTTTGGTTTACTACTTGATCAAATGGGTTTTAGTTACTATTATTAAATGAAAACTAATGCTTGATATATTCAGAGATGTGAGAGTCAGAGACTTGGTACATATATTTGATTTTATCTTTGGTCCCAAACATCACAACAAAGACAGGCAATTCCAATCCACACAGCACATCATATTTGATATATTCAGAAAAAGTATAAGACTTTGTCATTCTATTTTTACTTTATATAGGCTCTTACTAATTCAGATTGTGTGATGTTTGGAGCAGAGGAGATATAAGCTACGGGGAAAGAAAACATGAATAAAATAGAGATTCAAACTCAAGACTTTATACCAAGCTTTTATTACACGGCAACATCACACACCTATTACAAGTTTATAACATTTTTATTTTTCAGTTTTCCAAGCTTAAAACTTCAAAAAAAAAAAAAAATGCTTTTGGGGAGACATGTAAGAACATCCACATCAATGAACCCTAACTTTTTGATTTTCTTTTAAAAAAAAAAAAAAAAAATCTAAACCAATTCCAGATCGCCACGTGGTGAATCTCAGGAGAGAGAGATTCACCCGAGAGAACTTTAAGAGAGAGGGATTCATAGGTTTTTGTTATTTTATTATTATTTTTTTTTTTATTTTCGTGTGAACTCCCCTCATAAACCCTCAATGGAGGTGCTCTAAGGATCGTAGTTTAACAACTCAGAGATGTATAAGTAATACACAAACAAAAAAAACAAAACCAAGAAAAGTCTAAAACGCTTCGAAATTTCAATACACTCTTACATGCTTGCACCTAGTCTTGTATAAAAAGAAACCACGATAAAGGAAGAAAGCACTAAAGCGGCTCCCAAGTAAAAGCATATATATTGAAAAACAATTTTTCTAGAACCATTATGATCGGGTAAGCAGAGAAGCTGACCAAGTTCGAGGTCACAATAGACTCAGCGAACACTACAAGCCCTACAACCCCCACCCAATATTTTTGCATGGTCTCGTTAATGGATTTCAAAGGTATCTAATTAAGCCTTCCATCTTCCACCCCCCTTCTCGTCTAATTTCCAGCGATGAAAAAAAAATGCAAAGAGTTTTTGATTTTTCTTGAAACACAAAAAGAGTTTTATAATATAAAACAGAAAAAGACACATAAAGCAAAATATTTGTGGACAGAAGAAAACAATCAAAGTATCAATTTGCAAACAAAATTATTATGTAATAAAAGAGTAAATTGAGATGAAAAGGTATTGTAACGTCAACTAGCTGGTGGTCTCGTAGCTGTTCCTCTTCTCTATGCGAAGCCTATAAAAGTAAGAGACAACGCTAAGTAATGCAGCTACTATTGCGGCTCCTTTGTAATAATCCAAATCATCCTTCCCTGAATCAAAGAACAAAACCCCAAGAAGCGACACGATGGGCCACGTACAGACACTGATCACATTAGAGAATATGCTCGAGACAGCGAACACAAGCCCCACCAACCCAACCCAGTAAATCTGCCACGCACCGACTTGACCCATCATAGTCAGAATGTACGCTCTCTTCCCCTCGGAAAACCCACGTAATTCTGCCTTAAAAACATGATGCTCCCCTGTAATAAACAAGCCAGCCAAGAAGACTATGGTGGGTAAGATGGACGAGAAGAAGATCAACTCAAAAACGGAGGCAAAGCTAGGCTTCCTGTTGGTGGCTACGTCGCGTTTTGAGATGACGTTGTCGAATACATTTTGAGAGCCGGTAATGATATAGGAGAAAGACAAGGCAGCGAATATAGCTGATAACACACCTGATACAGTGTAGCCTTGAGATAATCAATAATTATTTATATTATAATTGATTAGAATTATCTTTAAAAATGTTATAGTTTTATTTGGTTTTCATATAAATGTCTTTTAGGATTAGAGTTTTATTCAGTATTAATTATTAACCAGCAATATAAATCAGATTAGATCGTAATTATGCAAGTGTGAAAATAAAAATATTTTATGTATATACAGTTAACTCTTGTAGCCCTTTCCCTGGGTCCTTCTACGTTCATTTTAAAAAAAAAATAATTTTGTAAATAGTAATATAGATAGAAAGATATTATAAATAGCTTTAGATAAAAAGATGAGGAAAGTGTGCAACTTTTGTTTTCAGTAAACCGTAATCACTATGAATCCAGAAAAACAATAGTTTTTAGTTATTTTTACAATAAATAAGATATTTTGCATATATGAAACTTCAGATATTTTTGGTATCAATTGATATAGGAGAAAGAGAACACACACCTGTACGGTATTTCGCTGTATCGTTCTCTGGTTCTCCGGGGAAGGAAGAAGAGAGAGTGAGAGCACCAGCGGCCATGGCAAAGAAGAGAGAGATAACAATCCATCTATTGAACTTAAACTTTTTGATGATGAAGGATAAGACCATGGTGAATAAGAGCTGCGTTGTGTAGATAAGTGTGAAAACGTTAAAGGGTATCTCGAGTTTGCCTTTGGTGTAGAGTCTTGCGTGAAACACCATGCCCACGCCGATACCAGGGTAAAGTACAGTGAGGAACCTGAGAGAGGTTCGGTCCGAAGACGGAGGAAGTTGGTTCGGTTTCCTAGGGTCGGGATAGAAGTGGATGTAGAGAGGAGTGCGGAGGAGGGGGAAGCCGATGACCTGTAGGAGAGATTGAAACCATGTGGCTCGAGGTTTGTTGATTGTGTGGAGGTAGTAGTAGTTCTCGAGGAGTTTTACAATGGATTGACCTGTTATGACCAAGATGGTGCAAATGATGATGGTAGGCCACTTGATGGTGTCTGTCCGGTTCAATGTACCGGTTTGGTTCATCACTGTGGCTGAGTGATGTTCTTCTTTCGGTATCTGCACAAATTGTTCTGCGCCCACCAACCATACAAAGAAACGGAAAAAATGGATAATGTTTTTTGGGTACAAAATGGATATTTGAGTTAAATATGAATTAAGTATGTTAATTATAATACATATTTTTGGAATTAGCAATTTGATATAATTTTATTTCAATAAAATGGAACTATTTTTTGAAGTTAACTATTCTTTGATAAAATGCATAGAATTCAAATGCGCCTTTTAAAACAAATTTCTATTTTAAATCTCTTATCTTTTGAAAAACAGAGAGAGTTACTAACTTTTTGAAAGAAAGTGAAGCTTTAAGATTGAAGAACAAGAGAGAGATGAGAGAAAAGAGTAAAGAAGGAGAAACTTTTCCCTTAGTTCTGAAAAATAACGTTACAATAAGTTATAAGGAGAGAGAACAATCTTATTCTAGTAACCAAACACACTTGGCTTACTAGAGAAGCTAGAATAACTAGTTTATTTATTTAATTAACTCAATACTCCCCCTCAAGCTTTGCCATGCCTAATGGTAAAGCTTGGAACCATGAAAACATCCCTCGTTAAAACCTTTTGTATAGAAAAACCCAATGGGACAAAACCACACAAAGGAAAAAGAGTAGATGCTTCATGGCTTAAGGAGATCATGATCTATCAAGGTCTATGAGTCCTAATCTCGGATGAATGAACTCACAGACNCACAATGCATGGTAATTGGTGTTGATGTTTCTATGCCCAAGTCTCTTAGCAAGTTTCTGATCCAAATGAGCTCACTTGTCAATTTCCTCATTGCTCTATACTCTGCCTCAGCACTTGAACATGATACCACCTTTTGCTTCTTGCTTTTCCATGTAACTAGATTGCCTCCAATGAAGGTGCAATAACCTGTAGTAGACCTTCTATCCACTCGATCACCAGCCCAATCTGCATCACAATATCCCACAATCTCTGTGCTCTTGTTGCATCCCATCCAAACACCTTGTCCCGGGGCCTCCCTTAGGTATCTCATAATCCTTTCCACCATATTCCAATGATGAACTTTAGGTACTTGCATATGCTGGCTGACTTGGTTCACAGCAAAACAGATATCTGGTCTTGTAATGGTAAGGTAAAGCAGCTTCCCAACCATCCTCCTATAGAGTTTGAAGTCTCCAAATGGTTTATCTTCAAACTCCCCCTCACGCAAGACTTTGTAACCTTCTTCTAGTGGTGTTTTAGCTACTCTTGCTCCAAGTTTTCCTGCCTCATTTAAAATATCAAGTGTGTACTTTCTTTGGGATAAGAAAAGCCCCTCTTTAGAGCGGCATATTTCTATCCCTAGAAAGTACTTTAGCTCACCCAAATCTTTAATATCAAATGTAGACTTAAGAAAAGCTTTAGTAGAGATGATACCTTCCTTGTCACTTCCTGTGATTATAATATCATCCACATAGATCAGTATCACGATAATTCCTTGCTTGCTTGTGAGGGTGAAAAGGGTATGATCAGCTTCTGATTTTACAAACCCTCTTCCATTGAGAGTTGTGCTCAGTTTGTGATACCAGGCTCTTGGTGACTGTTTTAATCCATAGATTGCTTTCTTCAATCTTAGTACATTTCCTGGCTTGACCATATCTTCCATACCTGGAGGTGGCTTCATGTAAACCTCATCTTCAAGCTCTCCTTGAAGAAAAGCATTCTTGACATCCATCTGCCATAAATCTCATTCCAAGTTCACAGCTAGAGAGAGTAGAATCCTTATAGTATGCAGCTTAGCCACTGGTGCAAAGGTATCTAGGTAGTCTTCTCCGTAGACTTGAGTGTACCCTCTTGCGACCAGTCTTGTCTTCTTCCTTTCTGGTTTTCCATTAGCAAGATATTTGATGGTGAAGAGAAGCATGCTGGTCACAGCTTTCTTGCCTT